ATTATGAAGATTTGCTGGCAGGCAGAGGCAGGTTTCAAACATTTTTTTCTACAATTCAACAGAAGCTGTCCCAAAGATGACACCGTCCTCTTTCATAAATAGAGTCATCATGATCAATCAACAATAATAATTGAACGCACATCTGTTGGGTCTTAAAGTCAATGTAGCATTTAGTCTGATAATATAGACATAATTATACAAATACTAAAATTATTCCATGAGCAATATACCAGTGGTATTCCACTGTGACCACAATAACTCTCACCTACATTAAAACATCAAATCTAAGGGACATCAAAATGAAAATAGTTGTCTTTAAAAGAACCATATATGAGCCGTAGAGGTAGTGGAAGGCTTTTCGATATATGTAAGAAGCTAATTAGTCTCAGTCATAACTATGGCAGAATCAAGAATCCAGAAAAAGCAAATATTATCCCTCCAGTCTGAAGGTTGTTCGGAATGATCTTGCAGTACATCAAAGAAAACTTTGTTACTACAGGTATCTAGTTACGATTTAAGTTTTCGAATATAGCACCCTTTTTCAGAAATAATTCGTTCGCTTCCAAGGAACTAAAATCCCGCACATTTAAGCTTTTTTCGCGTATCATTAATGGTATGATAATAGAAATTAAGGATATATTTAATGGGTCACCTAAAGTCCGTAACCATGAATGGATCTAAACTATGTCTAGACAGGTGGCGCTGTGTTTGACATATCATAATTTTTAGTATGGATGACATGAATGTAGGTCAGGAATCAATTCTGACATTGGTAGGGGATGTGTCCGCAATGACGTTGTGGCAATGTTTACAGTCAACATTCTGTGGTGGACAAGACTCTGGAAGCAGCAGAGTCGTGGCTACAGTTACTACACAGCTCTGACCCTGGATTAACAAACTCAAAAGTCTACGTATGATAACCGCGTTCAACTCTGAACTGGCATTGGAGCCACAGAAAAGAAGAAATCTACAGATTTATAGTCCAAGCGTTTGTAGAAACGGAACAGTTCCGTAAACACTGGGCAGTATCTTTTTATCTTACAATAGACAAATATCAAAATGTCTTTCCTTCTGTGAAGCTATTTATTTTTCCCGGTATGAATGATACCATTTCATCAGTATTCCAAAATGAGTGTGGTATAACTAATTGTTCACCACAAGCTAACACACATTTTAGTGCCATACAGTTATACTGTTTGTGAAGATCACTTGCGAATACTTCCTGGGGCACTCATGAAAATGGTGAAGGCACAATTATTCAAGTGGTTGCTTTAAAGTGGCTAACTTCTAATCCTTATATCATTTATTACAATGTGTTCGTGGCCATGGCTCAAGTATGAGTGCAGCTTTTCAGATGGTTTCGTTTGGACATAGACGTCTGTCAGTGCAGATGAGAACACTGTTTTGTTTCGTGGTATAAAGAAAATGACAATGGCATAAGTGTAATGACAATTTGTTCAACAATACCTCAAGAAATATTGCACATTAGTATTTATGTCTTGTACACGCCCTCTTTAATGGACTGTTTGTGTGTCGTCAGACATATCTAATCACTTTTAGCTGTGACATCTTTCTTTACAATGCATTGTACCCTGTTGTTATCGTTCAGGATTTGATTACGGTATGAGTAAATAGAAGTCACGAGTACTGGACTTATCTCCCTTGGCGATACCACTTTGTCTTTGCTTGTCGTAACTTTACAGACATCCTATTTTGATATGATATTTTGTATAGCGGTGGGTCATGTTCATAAACACTTAATGTTGTGTATTGACAATGATCGATATTTGAGTAATTGTGTACTACAAAGTTAAATACTGTCTCTTATTTGCGCGACTCACCAAACAGCATAATTTGTTTATGGCTAGCGCATATTCATCATCTCCGATCCTGTAATGCGCAAAATACTGGAACCATGGCACATAATCGGCACCTCTGAGACCTGAATGGCTCATGCTTAAACATATCTGAAACCTCACAAGCACGTTTGACTAAATTCATCTCCTAAATCCAACCGTTATTTCCCTCAGCATCATAACGCAACATGAGTCCCTTACCTCAGGGAAACATCCGTTCCACCGTTAGGTGGCATCAAAGTATCTTCCATCTTAAAATGCCAACTTTGGTTTGTGTTAATTGACTATCGTAAAAAACAATCCAACGAAGGAATTACAAATGCCATGTGTATCAGGAGAGAGTTTATTAATACCTTCAACTGTCCTTTCGTAGATAACCGTAATAAAATGTGTATTAAAGGTGGTAAAGTTCGGTGATTTGTGTAACATTGTACCCCGTGTTGCTGATCCATCTATAATTTTTGAATGGATGTTTTTTCAGAGAAGGGTTCTTTTGTTCACATACTAACACCAATGTTAAGTTTCGTCACTCTAACGTTTGTTTCATTAAAACGCATAGTGCTGTTTAGTCGGGGTTGGGGATATGATTCTTTGTGTTGTTTAGTTAAGGTGAGGGATCAGTTATAATCATATCTAAAAATCGCGACCTTTTATCAATACTATAAACTATAATAGCACCCTACACCGTTTAGAAATCCAAATATTTATAAAATCCTATGTCAATATTTTTTGGAAGAAAACACAGCATCTGCAGAGTCTATTACTTTGGTATTGATTCAATATGTTGCTAAGATATTCATTACCATGATGTTAAACAGCTTAAAATCGACATTACGTTGGACATGAGAGAGCTTATATCAACTCGGGTCACGTCTACACGTTGTTTGAACAGCAATAAAGCATGCCATTCTGTGAACATGACGTACGTTTGTTTATTGCCCTTTCCCTTACATTACCAGATAACATATTTGTGCAAGTGTAACCTCACATGTCAAAACGTGTTTTGTGCATGCGCAATGTACTTAATTTATTGTATTTCACAGGTGTGCTTCATGAATATTCAATACACAGAGGTATCTTGCCGTCACACATGGCGTATGCTACTACGTTAAAAAATACAAACCTTTTGTTGGAACACCTGGCGGCAATGTGTTCATCAAAGAGTGCAGCGTGTGCTGTTATTTTTAATTTCGCGAAATCGATTTGTGGAAGTGTAAATACCTTTTCTTCAGTGAAGTACATAACAACGCTGTCATCGATATAGAAATCATACGGCATACACACTTAACAGCGTTGTCAGAAAAGAAATCATACGACGTGCACACGTAACAACGCTGTCATCAGTATAGAAAGTATACGACACAAACACAAATCCCAATGGCATCAGGATGTAAATAGTTAATGCATAGATACTAACTTTTTCATTGATGCAGACTTCATACGACATACACACTTACCAGAGTTGTCATCCCTGTAGGTTGGTTGGTTGGTTGGTTGGTTGGTTTGTTGTTTAACGCCGCACTCAGCCATATTCCAGCTATAAGACGGCGGTCTGTTAATAATCGAGTCTGGACCAGACAATCCAGTGATTAATATCATGAGCATCGATCCCAGCAATTGGGATACGATGACATGCATCAACCAAGTCCCTGTAGTCTATATAGGATCTTGCAGTGGCATTGACGTTAGATTTATTGTTTCAACCCTTTTAACACTCTTTCGAATTTGTAATACCTTAACTATTCCAGACAGTACTATTCAAAGTGAACAAATATTGAAAATAGTTATCTGAAAAATTGTTCTTGTTATCTTGTTTTTGTGATCAACAGAATGTCTATGTGCATGGAAAGTTGACTTGTATTCTTAAATTGAAGACAATCTTGTGACTTACAAGTGTTGTCTTCAAATTATACGAAACATTGCGAACTTAGCAAATAATTACACAATTTAAACTCGAGTGCCGTTGCCGAGCCTGAAAAGGTCCCTTAATTTGGTTTAGGCATCCCCTAATTCAACTGGGCACCAGGAACTGCCAAACACAACGATAAAGCCTGAATACGCCGAATACTTGGCTCAGTTTGTCCCCGTGTTTCCATGGTTGCTTTTATGTTGGCGTCATACTCGTTCAGGAAATGTAATTGTACTTTATTCTTAATTTCAAAATCCCCATTTCACCCCCTTCAACACCATTAACAGTTTCGCTTTCTATTTTACGACATTAAATGAAATAGACACAGGATCCACCGAGGTCTAGAGATATAACAATGTGATTAAACCTACCGATTAACATTTACTATCAAAACACCCCACCCTGAATTTAACAAGGGTGATTAGCACATGTTACAAATGCACGAAATGTACTATTAATAGATCTATGGACACGCAATAGTCTCTTCAAAGGATACACCAGCCATCAAGTCTAAGCCGTATGCAAATTTCCGTTTCTGGTAACATTCGTTTTATTCCAGACCTTATCTAGCAGGTCTAAGACAGAGACAGCTTTCCATTAGTCAGGATTTCCCTTCAGTTTTCTTCTCTGGGGAAATATATTGACATAGCGCAGTGCGAATATCAAGAATAAACTTACAAGTGGAATTATGGAATCGAGGGCGTAATGTGAGATAAAGGGTACACATATATAATGCATATCAGCCAAACAGTAGAGATTCTTATGCTTTCAGTGTAATTTTTTGTCTGTCTGTCGTAAAGATAGCTGAGAATTTGATTGATAATGTCAGCTAAGCATGGTTGTATATATGTACATTACTGTCTGACATTCACACCTGTGTGGGGCGTAAATGGCTAATTTGAAACCCTTTTCATTGAAGAAATTAGTTAAAATGTATATTATATATTTGGTATATCATATGGTTTTATCAAGTTGCCAAAGTCCTAATCATTCTTATGTCCGTAACGTTTTGCGCGACTTGTGAACATTAATATATTTTGATTATCAATACTTTGTCAATTCGCATTCATTTCTAGTTTACCTTTTACGCCTAGTGGGATTTGTTTCGGCAGATAATCGAGACTGGATATTCTCTGGCGTTGACGTTTTATATAAACGTTTATAAATTCGTTAAAGAAAAACAATTAAAAAACATGTTTCATAAAAACGAAATTATCGCAATTTTCAAAACCTACCTTTCAGCGAGATATTTTTCTAGAAGAGCACGAAAATTCCCTCGACTGTTTGTATTTTTCAGGGTCCGTCTCCTCGAGTCATCCTTAGGATATCCAAAAACACCAAAACCCTCGGAATCCAACTCAAGAAAGTTTTCTTCTTTCGAGTCGCCCATGGAGTCTGTTAAAAGATCGGAGTCCAGGGTGGGAACCCCTCGCTTACCGGCAAAGTGAAAGCCGTTACATTTACACACGTTACCACCTTTTCCTCTGGCGCAGTTTGAGGCACAGAATCCTTTCAAACTAAATCCGTGTGTAGTAATAACTATGCATGTGACAAACAGCACGGCAAGGGTGTACAGAGCTGGTGTGGACGCCATTTGGATGACAAGGACCGAGAAAAGTCAAAGATGGAGTCCGGTGTTGCTCCCGGAGCTCCGGTAAAGACCGCTAGTCTTCTTCCTGTCGCTCTTTCTGACTCAAAGAAGTATTTGACTGAACTTTATAAGATATCTCAGTACCTAAAAGACGTTTCTTTGAGGAGTCCGTCACCCGCCAGGAAAGTTTGTCAAGTCACTATTGAGTCGGGATTGTCGTCTGGCAGGCAAGATGTATCCCAGAGTTCACCGCGCCTGATCTAACTGGCTTCACCTCACCTGTCTCCCTGTCACGAGGGTCGTCAGCCTGGAAAGAAAATACTAAGATGATTGGTGAAAGAGTCGCAATATATAGCCGATAGCGGCCGCCCTTTGGCGTGACTCGTCGCTCAAACAAGTAGCGGAACCAATTAATTACTGAGCATTGATATCGGTGATAATTGATACGGCATCAGTTTGATTAGCTCATCGCTGGAGCTTCCTGATACAGTGGGAGGCACTGCTTACGTGTTTCAGATTAATAATTAATTACTACGATAGAACCTTTGGGGAATCCAGCGTCCAAAACTTAGTCTTAAAGCGGCTGCAGTCACAGTGGGAGATGGAGACAGCTTCCTCACTTAGTGCTGGCGGGCTCACAGCGAACTGCTCGCGCACTCGTCACAGACACAATACCAAGATCAATGAAAACATCGCGTTTATGAAGCCCACTCGCGTCAAAACTTAATTCGCATATTCAGTATGAAGTTCGCAATGCAGATCGCCTGATTCACTAGAAAAGCTCGATATTGCCACCGTTGCAAGAAAACATTGTGACCGATTACAAGGTTCGTGTGAAGCACTTGGGTTACTCATCATCGAATGTTGCTCATATGAAGTGACTAATCTCCTTCTTGTGTAATTCAAGGTAAATAAGTAAATATCCAACAAAATAAATATGCACTTGATTGTCGTATTGTAGCAGGTTTCCACGTTCAAAACTAAAATCTGAACAGAACAAAAATGACAGTTGTTTGTTGTCATTTTCTTAATTTGTAGTACATTTTTTTCACAAAACATTTAGATATTCAACATTACGGACACAAAGATCTGTTATGTCTATAATACATTATTAGATCATTCGGAAATGTCAGGCCTTGTCAATTGTGAGTGACGTGATGGGTTTAGGTTATCGCATATGTTTTTGAAAACGTTTTCAAATAGTTTTGAATGATTGATTTATCATTATGGATGTGTTCATACGTCGTACGTCCTTTTTCTTAGAAACTGTAAATAATTCACAATTAAATCATTATCTCGCAAGATGATCAGCTTTATGACAGACTGTTGGTTTGGAAAGAATCAACGTGAATGAAAAATATTAACGTAAACTCCTTCAGTCAATATAATCAATGTAGTAGTGTATTACTAAGTAGTGACAAAGTATTGGACATTTTATCAATGGGTAATGAGTACAGTCGCGCACAAGTAAAGTTCTGTATCATCCCAACTGATCATGACAAGAAGGATACAGAATGATATATAACTGCCACTCCCTAAACAACGCTGTCCCAAGGATCAATTTCTATCACGGTTAGTACCTGTTTTAACCTTTGCAAGATGATGCTATTTACAACCAAATGTATATTTCAGTGCAGGTTCATACATCGTCGTCATAGCATTACTAGAAGCCCTGGTCGTTGTCTGAGCTCGACAATCTTGCAAGCCATACTTGTGACTACCTTAGGGAGCATTTTTGACACAGACGGTCCTGTCGGTGACCATTTAGATCATGTTGAATATACAAGTTGTATGTGACATTGCTAAAATTTCTGGATCCGCCTCATATGCAAATTTTAATGTGTCCCGAATTAACGAAGATGCTGAACATTAACGGTTTAACCTTATCATTAAAGTTGTGATACTTGTTCCTTAGAGTTCGATCTGATAGCGTATTGTAACGGTAAATGTGACGCAAGGTGCGATGTGATCATTCACAGGCAATGTCTCTTCCTCAATAATGATTCAACGTACCGAATTTAGATAATTCGTTTGGCCACCTGTATTCAAAACAGAGATCTATGTAAGCGGTATTTTCAGTGCTTGCATATTTGAATAATAGCGATAAAGCTCTTTCAATATATTCAAAAGAAATCTCGATTGTACGATTGCAACTATCGTGTGCATGTCTTTATTATCTGTCCAATCTGTGCAATTACAAGCATGAAGTGTAAACATTATCTCGTGTTTGTCTCGCCATTCGTATCGTGACTACACGGAGTGGCTTAATGTAGAATAGTTGATATTTGCCCTTTAGATATTTGACTTATACATCTTAGTTCCGGGTATACACACTTACACGTTCAATAATAGACTACTAAGCAGAACAATTCAATGATCACATTTGTCAAGATATTGGGACAACTGGTGTATTCAACTGGTAAGTCGCGAACAACGCTGTCGTCACAGCATAGAATAATAGAGGTTTTGATCGGCATTAAGAGGTTAGACGAACACCAAACTATCATGAATACCAACCATAATATTGATTTTGTTATTGTTATTTTAATATTTTGTGAAGTGTCATATCGTAATCTAGTCAGTAAGATACGTATGAGTACGATATTGTGATCGGTAACGTCACGATCAGTGGGTTGCGTTAATGAACGAAGTTGGTCTTTTAAAGTTATATCAAACGTTATTGGATTTGGAAATTACTTGATTCTGATTGGTCATTCAGAGGCTATTAAATCACAATAAACCCCCTCTGATTGAAACAGCTGGTTTGATGGCCGCATCACCGAGGGAGCTAATATTCACAGAATAGTACTTTTTTCAGTCATTGCAGGCATATTTAAATAATGATATCTACAATTACATGTTACAAAATGCACAGATGCGGTTACTACAATATTCAAAGGGTGTGACGCAATAACACGACAGAAATCTACAAAGAGAATATATTTACGTTTTGGAGAGAACAGAGAGCTTGGAATTTGGCGCTTTTCTATATACGACTGTGACGTCATATCTTTTGCGTAACAATGAGTGATATGACGTCATATATAATGGTGACGTGTGTAGAACGTAAAGCCCCTGTCTCACATACACGATTTAAGAAATTGCGAACACGATTTAAGAAAAGTTGAAAAATTGTGTTGATTCGTGCTCGACCTTGTGGTTTATGCAAATTTCTTAACCAAACACGACCCTCATACGACCCTCATACGACCTTCATACGACTGAACACGACACTCATACGACCGTCATAAGATATTCATACGATACAACACGATTTAACCTCATTTAACACGACCCCAATACGACCGTCATACGACCAAACACGACTGTCATACGACGCCCATACAACTTAACACGAATGACCACGACCGCCATACGATTAATCCCGAATCATTACGATGTCCATACGACTACAAAAATAAACACGATCTCCATACGACTGAGCAAGACCTTCATACGACATATTTTTGTTTATATTGGTCACGTGGGTCATGTAGTATATAAGCTGCATTGCAACAGCATTTCTGTGTCAGTCTTCACCATGTTCAACAACGAACAAGACCCGCATGAAGCAGCTTTGGAGGAGGAGGAAGTACTTCTGGTAGCTATGGCTTTGATGGTGAGGGGCAGGAGGCATCACTCAGTCACGTGATGGGCTCTGACAAACGTATGGATTTCGTGTTCAGGCGTATGGGAGTCGTATGAAAGGCGTATGAAAGTCGACGTCGTGTTGAAACCTGTTAAAACGTATGAAGGTCGTATGAGTTTCTTCCCACGCTTAACAACACGACTGAACGCGACTGAACACGATCTTCATACGACTGAACACGATCTTCATACGATTGAACACGACTGTCATACGACCTTCATACGACCTTCATACGACTGAACACGACTTTTCAGCTCGGCTTTAATCGTGTTATAAATTTTTGCACACGATTTAAGCCGAGCTGCGACGTCCATACGACCGCGCGCGACCGACCACGACTTAACACGAGTGAACACGAATGAGTGCGCGACCTTCATACGTTCTAACACGATTTAAGGAAACACGTTAAATCGTGTTCATTCGTGTTCAGATTCGTGAATGTGAGATAGGGGCTTAAGCCTTGCAAAGCTTGTTTAGTTTTCTTTAGGGATGCACACCTCATGTTAGCTTACCAAGTTTCCGTGCTCATATGCTTTCAATGCCTGTCATGTGTTCGAGTGAATTATTACGGTGTAAACAAACTGCTTGAGTATATACAGCGCTATATTTTGTTGACAGGCTGGTGTCGGTGATTTCATAATTCAGAGCGACAACCCACTCAAAACACTGGACTCAACCCATGCCGCTTCACTAAATATATTTGCTAAAACCAAAGAGTTCGCGTATAATTTAGTCATGGTAGAATGGAGATAAACATACTGTGTTTTGAATGTAGAGCTAGGTTACGATGTGCGTTCGGTTCCAAATTCAATTTAGAGGGGTTAAATCTACAGGGTAACCCAGCTCTACATGTATAACACAATATATTTATCACCTTATTTACAGTCGGGAGATGCCACTAAAGCCAATGTGTAACAGGTTATCATTTCAACCAACAACCCAGAACAAAACTTTAGAAGACCCATTCCCAATGCATATCGGTACTTGTTGCAGGGTTTCAGCATCCCTGCACGTTTACCTGTATCAAAGTACAACGTTTAATCGAATTATAAGTGTTTCCGTTTCTGAACCACAAATATACGTACAGATTAAGTATGTGGTTTTAACATCGATAAGTCGTATGGGCTTCTATCGCGTTAAAGAACTATACTATCCATAATTTGTTGGACCGCATCATTTCTCTCAGGAATCCAAGATAGTGATATCAAATATAACCAAGGCACGAGTCCATAACAATGCTCTTCAGCAAGCCACGAGGGCATCATTTATATTTATTAGGTTATTATGTACAGTGGACGTTGTTATCTCGAAACTGTGGCAAACAATTACATGTTTCGAGTTTTAGGAATATTCGAGATGAACGTGCAAAGACAGATCAGCAAAAAACAAATAACTTAGTGAACCTCATTAATTTTAATTTGACAATTGGTATCTTTTATCAATATATTCCAGTTAGCCCTAATAATCACAACGTGGAACTTTGTCTACATGGCATAGAAAATATTTATTAAGATATTTTAATTCCTATCTTAAATCTAAACATTAGGTTGAATGAGATAAAGACTTAAATAAACTACGCGTTTTGGTTATTTTTATGCAGCCGTCATACGGTTGAACGGATTATCCTAAAATCATCCCATATCTGTTCCATAAATACTACTTTTAACATGATATTCTCTTATATGCCTTTATATTCTTAAGTTACACAAGTCCTCAAGGACTGTAAAGAAAGAGTGGGAGATGGGAGCAACTCTCAGTATTGCTCATGGGGTAAGGATCATGGCCTGTCGCAACAAACGGTAAGCTGCGCAATGTCCGTTTACATCCATTTCAACGAGCAGGTTAAATGGAATAGCTCAATAAATCTTTAATTATCTCCCTTGTGAAAAGTAAACACTGAGACCGTCTCCTTCCGAAGTTAGCATAAATCGTTACACTTCCGCTTGCGGGTAAACGTCACAATGGCGGCCTCGGCTAGTGACGTAAACTATTGACGTTGATCACACAGTTTGGCAGTGTCT